AGTTTCAGATACATCCAACTCCCCCTATCACAAAATCAAGAAGTATTTAATCAGGATCTTAGGACCTGTGAACAAACAAGCTGTAAGAGATGGTTTTAAAGATGTATTCGACTTTATTTACAAGTTAAAAAAGGTAAAGACAAACGGGAAACATGCAATATCTCTAGATTTTCAGCCTTTACTCACCAATGTACAACTTATTGAGAAAGTGGCACTTATTTGTCAGTAGACATAGGAAACACAGATTACTAATGGACTTCTGAAGTTTAGTCTTAAGCAATTACTCCTGAGATCTACCATGAGTTCGCATTTTGTCTTCAATAATACATATTATTGACAACTTGATGAAATCGCCTTGGGTTCACCCTTAGGACCAACATTAACTGGGTTTTTTACTGCTAATCTATAAAAGGGCTGCTGAAAAATGTCACAGATAATCTGGATATGCACAAAAGTCATGGTAACGACACATGAATTATCTTTGGTCAGGATGTCGACAGAAACGGATTGTCAAGAAAAATTAATGACGAAAATTCTTCTCTCACTTTCAGTTGTGAAGAACATGAAAATATATGACGTTTCAAGGATGTTGCATCGATTAGCAGAGGTAATTGGTCACTGAGCAGAAGGCTGTACAGAAAGATCGCATTTACGGGTTGGTACATACACTCCGTTAGATTTTTGCCCATTCAGCAAAAAAGAAACTTGATTAAATGTCTTGCAAGTAGAGCCAGAAGGACCTGTTCCTATAACTTGATACGAAATAAGCTAGAATACACTCATAATATGCTGGTAGAAATGGGTTACACTCATAGTTTATAAAGAGACACAATCAAAATCAGCAAGAGATCTAGACAAGTCAATGTTCAGAAGAAATCACTAATAATGAAAGTCTAATTTAATGGAGATGTACTCGATGGATTTCTATTTGAGTTGTCTACAGCCATCGAAAGAACCTTCTATGCTACAATTTGAGGATTATATTTAGTTGGCTGATCGTTGTTGCTCAAACGAAAGACAAGCTACCCAGGTATGCCACCTCGATGTGCATTTACTAATTTAGCTCGCCCTGTTTGGAAAACCATACTGAGCGTACCACTAGGTCACTTAACAAACGTGTTGCTGGGCATCTGCCCTCGTGATTAGGAAAGGGATAAGTGAGGTCAATACGAAATTCAATTCTGTCGCATTTGGTTGATAGTGGTCATGCAATAAATCAGTCATCTATCTCATTCCACAAAAGCTTTCCGATGGAGTTCACATTCGTATGTTATATATACCTCAGGCTATGGGTATCAGAGAAATCAACGTAGTCTTTATGTACAGAAAAAGTTTGTACAACCCTTATCTCTGTCTTAGAGGAAACGTAATAAAAGATTTCAAAGACCAAATTGAATTTTTTAATCTTTCCCTTCTTTACCTCTTTCATATACATGTCATATATGCTGTATCGTGAACTGACAGAAGTAGGAAATATGAAGCATTGGAATCCGACTGAGTGGCTCAATGGTAGAGCGCTGGCCACAGAACCTGAAGGTATTGGGTTCGATCCCCAGTGGAGATATGGATGAGCACTGTTGAAGAGTCCTATACTAGGACGTAACAGCTGTCCAGTGCTCCCAGATTCCCAACGTTTATCCAACTGATGTTAGTCCATGATGAATACCGACCTGAAAACGCCACACTTGTCTAAACTTTGATCGTCCAGCTGACGAGTCCCAATTAGGACGAAATGCGCATCCTGGATTCCACTGCTAGTCACCATCCATCATTAATATACTTAGAACACAGGTAACATCGAGGCATCTGCACAGGAGCCTATATCCCAATAGAGACCAATCAATTCGGTCCAATCAACGACGATATGGTATAAAAACAATTATACTAAAGATGTACCCGTCACACAAGTGGCTATTGTGGCTCGGTGGTGTAGCGGATAACGCTCTGGCGTTTGAAGCGACCACTCCCGAGTCCGAATCCCGGTGAGAACAACATCACTCACTGGGAAGCAGGTACATTTAGCTGACGAGTCCCATATAGGACGAAATGTGCATCCTGGATCTCACTGCTAGCCATGATCCATCAGTAATTTAATTATCTACGTATTTTATTATTTAGCATAACGTAACTTTTGTTTTCTATGTTCTGACTAACATTGGTCGTCTAAATGTCAGCAGTACCATACTGTTCTCATTATTTAGACCGTCTATAGCAGAAATACTAAAGTTATTATTACCACTATGGTTAAAACGATTATTTGGAGAGTCACTTTTGGAATTCTATACTACCTTGTTGTCATAGAATTAAGAATTCACTATGATTGGTTTTATGTTTCATAAGTAAAAACTAAGTAAATCACAGTACAACTTGCAGAGATCTAATTGAAAACAATAATGTCTGTTTACATATCTTCTTCTAATTTAACAGTGGGAACTCCTAACATTCTTAAAATACAACAAAGCCGCGTTTAATTGTTTGCTAATTATTTAAATTAGTTTCTAGATATCAGCTCCATGCCCATTATCAATCAGGTGATTTCTATCAGCGTTGTTAAAGACTTTCACGTCTTTCAGTAATGATATTTGTATTTCAGGATTTGGATGTCCAAACTGAGTTGTTATCTCAGATGAGGTTTTAAGTTAACAAACGTTTCAGTGTCATAGCAGACATCGTCACTAGCGCATCAGTTCCCCCACGGAGTAAAGTAATTGATTGTGCATGGATATTTATAACGTGCTAACCTGCCTGGGTCTAACTTTATTGGTCGATTGATGCGTGTGGGAGTATTTTGAAACTGAAACGAAGATTTATAAAGGCAGGTTTCATTCAAAAAGTAACATATCTACCTTTTAACTATTTTTGTGCTTGTAAGTGAATTGTTGGGGAAATCCATTATCATGGAGACTTTTCGACAATGGACATTTTGTTCATGAGGCTATCTCATGAATAACAATATGGTATGCAGCTGAAAAGTATCTTTACTAACCTTTTCAAATAACCTCACACAAAAGCTGTTAAAACCCCAAAGTAAAATAAATCTATGCTAATTTGTTAAAAATTTGTATTCCCTTTACTTAAACTATTGAATAAATCATCGCTCAGAAAAAAAATAGAACGGATAGAACAGAATTGGTGAAAATACACCTGACATGACTAGTAACTAAGTTTCGGTTTTCATTCATTGGGAGATACGAAATAATGAACACTGATTGCCGAATGTCCAAACTTCCTCAGACCATCAAATATTAATTTATTTTAGATGTCTATATACTTGACCGAACTTTACATCTTTTTAATGGTCCGTTATAACACTGGTTAGAACTCCCTTGCTGCAAGCAGTGGGCTTAGTTCAGAACAATGCCCTTAGTTTAAGTGACTTATAAAATAAAGTATAGCTACAAAACTTGATTAAATGAGTCCGAAGTCAGTTTAAAATCGAACATGGGGTTGATGCACAGAAAAAATGTGCTGGAACACTAACATAGGAGGTAAATGAATTTGGATGAAGAAGATACTACTTCTTTTAAAACATGTTCCCAATGCAACCCTAATAATTAAGCACATGTATCAAAAAATTATAAACAAGCCTACTTCTGGAGAATCACCGGCAAAGCATAGAAAAACTGGCAACATTTCAAATCTTTCAGTATTGCGGTCTAACACAAAGTGTTTGAGGTGTTTACAATTTAATCTGAGACTTGAAACAACATAAATCACCTAACATGCTGCAATTTCGTGTACTGTCGTCTGAGTTACACTTTGTGTACAGACTGTGATCCAACCCAGCTGTCCAAATCTAGGTGGATGTAGTGGAATCGAATGCTGTAATAGACGAGATTTAAGTCAAGTACCTATTCAAAACTGATTACAATAGAGGAGGTACATACACTCTTTATCTCCCTTGAGCATTTTGTAATTTTAAACCCATTTGTTCCTTGTTTACTGATATCTTGTTTTCAACCACTAATACTGATTCTTAATTACACTTCATATAGCTAGGAAATGCAGTAACTTTAATCGATCCATTGTTGTGATAGATTTACTTCATTTATCCGTCATAGACTGGATTTGAGTGGAGTTGTATCATTGGTTTATGAAGTTGACCTTCAACTAGTGGGTCGCATGATCGAGAGCCGCTCCAACTACCGAGATTTAGGTAGTCAGATAGTATCAGTCGCCCTCACACACTAGGTGTAGCTCATTGCCTACTGCAAGAATGCGCACAAAGTTGCTAAAAGCATTTGGATTCGAGAATAAAATCAAAATATCATGACAATACAAATGCGTATCAAAATATATGACAAATTCCCGGCTTAAAGCTTATGCAATACACCAATTCATCATGATTCAACTACATTCTACATTTGCATCAAGCGCTTTTAGTAAAATTAATTAAAATTTAAGAATGTACAGTTATTGCATCTCAAAACGAGTATTTAGTATATATATATATATATATATATATATATATATATATATATATATATATATATATATATATATATATATATATATATATATATATATATATAAGAGGAGTGAGAAAATAATCAAATTCACTACGATAAGAACGAGAAAAATATGAGTATACATCGGCACAGCTGAAATCGATTCTGGGCCATATCAACCACTGATTTTTGTTGCAGCACAGACTCCAACCGGGAAGTCTTCACTTTTTTATACGGCTCAGGTCAACAGCCAAAGACTTCAGGGACTGATGTTATGTTTTCATTTGGCAGTCTAACCCTCTGCCGGCTTGAACTTAATTCAGCTAACAATATGTGACGTGACAGACAATGACTAAGTTTGCGTAAAACATCTCAGCCACCTGAAGTCACTACTTATATACGGTCTGAATTCAAACAAAATATTCATTTCGCCTTCATTTTTGCCTTATTCAGTGTTTATGAAACTTAGAAATTTTATTTTGAATGATGGGGAAAAGCATCACACCCAACTCTGAAAATACTGATATAATGTATAAACTTAAAACTATTTACCGGGTGAACGCTTACGAACACACGTATTGGAATTAAGTTCATTTTCGGAACCAGTGTCTGAACCCGCTGCAGAAACATTGTCTGTTGAGTTTGCGGTGTCAAGCTCAGTATGTTCAGTTGTACTTGCGATCCTTGTTTCAGTACCTTGATTTTCACGTGGATAACGTGGTAAAGTTATCCTAATAGGCACTAATTCCCAATTAACCCTAGTCGACATCCAAGCCATGATAAGAAATAAAATTGTTCCCATGCAGCTGATGACAAAAAGTAATTCATTTCCGATGCCCTCAACAATAGCTCCATATGCGTTCATTAGATCTGTAGAAATTGATAAATTTAATAGAAATAAAAATACGTCTCAAATTATTTAATAATTTATCAAGATTATTCAGTCTTTATTTTCGATTGATATTAAAACATTGCAATAGGCAAAAAGTGTGCTGGTAAAAATGTGATAAGCAAAGTGAATTCATAAAGGAAATGAATAGTGCCATGGACTGTTTTGGATCCCGTTTGAAACGTAGTTACATCTGTGGGTGGAAGTGTGGAAGCAGCATAGAGAAACAATAAAACGCAATGAGCTGATTGTATCCTAGAACTTCTCTTTTTTTTAAATCTCATTATATGTGTAGACTGATCACTTATACTCTAGTAAGTGGAGCAGAAGTCAAAACAGAGAAATACCGGTTTAAACTTGAATACCTAAATGAACAAGTCACAAATTCACCAAACATTACTCCTACACCATGTTCTCATACGACTTTAATTACATTGTTTTGTGAAGCATCTCTTGACATCTGCCTTGTGTATATATATGAGTGATAAATTGTTCAATGTAACTGTGAATATCTAGAACTTACACTAAACAATCATTATGGTGTATGGAATCTGTTTCTGTCATCACGACAACTAAAATTAACGCAAAAGCATAGAAGTATGGTACCAATCACCACGTTTTTATAATTGTTTGAGATAAACTTGGTATAGGATGGATACTAATAGACGCACCTTAAACAGTATTATAACGACAGCATGAAATCAGAAATAATACAGAAAGGAAGGAAATACGGAAACTAATGTAGAAATGGGTTATAAGAGAAGTAGTGTCAAAGATACACCACCAGAAGCATTCACTACTTTTGTTTGGTTTTTCGATGATAGAAGAGACAAGAGAGCTGTAGCAAGATCACAGCCATACCCGGTTCGGTCTCAAGCTGTTGAGTTGCATGATCTCCTGCAGTTCACCTAAGGACTCAAGAGTCACTGACAGATGCTAACCCAGTACAACTATCATTCATCCTAGGGTATCATATCATATACAACCGCCTTCTGCCCCTTCCAAAGAGTTCCAGGGAGAGTGAAAAGAGAACGGTGTGAGAGCCGCCTAGACGAAATTTATCTATGTGAAATTCCCTAGATCCAACGTTTTAAGATGATCATACTCAATAAATGACGATTTCTGTCAAGCCGATTTACGCAATTCCTCACCCTAGAATTGCTTACATATTTCTACCCGAAGCTAGTAACCCCACAGAGAAAACGATGACGGAACACTCAGAGTCATCGGACATTCTCAGCTTGAAAGCGGTAAATTTCGAAGGCGTAAAGAAGAACTCCCGGTGCTAATGCGTTATATACCCAGGCCTAAATGGCAATGTTAACTTCACGACGACGCCAAAGGTGACACAGATTGGTAAATGACATTCTGGCTTTCAATAAACGGTTTGAAATCTCATAGGTCATGCCTTCACCTGCATTCAAACTGTCAATGGAAAACAATCTACTAAATTACAATTCTGCTTAGCCTTCATCCATCACAGGAGGCTATCAAGCATCAACCTTTCTGGACAGCAATCTCAGACCCTGGTCTTCAACAAGACTGAATAACTGCCGAGTAGTATCACCTAGGGTCAATTTTTGTTCGCTTGCTTCAATTATGGTTGATAGCAATTGAATCTGTATATTTCGGCTTGATAGCAGTAGCCACTGAGTGAGACAATTTCACTCTATGTTTAAGGCTAGTGCTGGTTAGAAACAAATCAATTTCGAAACAAAATCGTAGTAAACGAATATTTTTCCCAGTTAGTTGATACATTTTGTTGGCACGCTGCATAACACCTTTCGAGCCAATTCGATCTCCATACTTTAGCACTAGGAACACCAACTAGTATGGCTATCTGGACATTTCCAATCTGCAGAAATAGTTTCTGGCATCATCATCATGAATATCAACATAGGACCACCACTACTGCGTAACGGTCTGAGCTGCCACAACTCATATCAGTACATCAAGTAAAAAGGCAGTCAGGTGCAAGATGAACATCAGAAAATTCAGTCAAAAGAAATATAAAGTACGAGAAGAAAGAAAGAAAGAATGACAAAATGGTGAGATTCGGTATAGCGTCGTTAAGATGAGGATAATGTGTGCATACATCAGCGCCACTGTCATCGGTTCTCAGCCATGTCGCCTAGGGTCTCCAGCCACTGGCTCCTCTTGTCATTCAGACCCCAACCACCTAGTCTACAACCCCGCCCCCCCCCATATGGCTTAAACCAACAGTCAGAGACTTCATACATTGATGCCATGTTTTAGCCTGGCCACCTCAGACCTTCTTCCAGCCTGCACCTACTTCGGCCAACATTGTATGACGAGGCAATCGGCGACTAGTCATACGTAACACGTGTCCCAACCATCTCAGTCGATAAAGGCTCATCACCTCGTCAACTGATTTACCTCTACTCCCTAAAACTCTGTAACTGACGTCTGCGTTACTCACGTGGTGACACCACGGAATACGGTCTATACTACGAAGCCAACGGTGGTCAAACACTTGAAGCCTTCTCATGTCTTCCACCTTCGATGGCCATGTTTCACAGCCATACAGTAGAACAGAGCGAACTGCTGTGAAGTACACGGGACCCTTAATAAACAGTTGGATATCACGACGCGCCAAGGTGGCGTAAGTTGGCAAAACCCAGCTGAGCCTTTTGTATTCGTGCAGAGACTTCATCGGCCTCTGAGCCACCTGAGCAGTGCTCATCCTACTTCCCAGGTAGGTGAAGTGGTCGACACACTCAACCTCTACACTCACTCTCTACTGTTAGTCGTGGCAACGTTGAAGGCTAATCCTGAAGCAACAATTTGCATTTGGGTGGTAAGAACCGCATCCCAAACATTCTCAAATCCCACTCAAAGTGTTCAGAAGACTCTGCATCTTGTCAGTGTCTTCACCCAACAGAACTAAGTCATCTGTGTATTCTAGGTCAAATGAAAATTCTCCAGCAATTAGGTCAACGTCTGTGTAACCTGGTGACGAGAGGGAGACCTGCATGCGAATATCTATGATAAAATTGAATAAGAATGGAGAGAGTGTGCACCTTTGACGGACACCACTCGATTAGCACAGCTCACCTGACATCTCATCACAGTCTCTAAATGCCCACAAGTATCCGAGTAGAGAGCTTTCAATAAGGTGATGTACTTACTCGGCACGCCTTTCACTGAGAAACATTGCCATAAGACTTCTCGATCAAGAGAGTCGAATGCCGCCGCCTTCAGGTCGAGAAATACAGCTATTGTCGAGCTTCATAAGCGTGTCTGTGTTCCAAACCTGGCACAGTGTGAATATTTGGTCGATACACCCACGACTGGGTCTAAGGCCTGCCTGCCTGGTTTTCTCACGCTCGCTGTTCTCCAGCTCACTCAGGCGTCGGAGAATTATAGAACCTAGAATCTTAGACACTATTTCATCAGGCTGATTCCTCTGTGGTTATCACAAGAGGACTTCTCGCCTTCTTCAAGACTGGGATAATCACTGATTCAGACCAGTCAGAGGGGATCGTATTTGATTCCCATATACTGGTTAACACTTCCGTTAACCTGACTAAGAGGACCTTACTACCACCCTTTATTCCTCTCGAGTTAGTCCGTCTGGTCCTACTGCCCTTCTTCGTTTCAGGTTACCTACAGCTTCCTCAACTTCTGCAAGTGTTGGGAGGCCTATCTCAATGTTCCATTTAGCATCCAACTGGATAGCGAGCAACACAATAGTGGCTACAGGCCAGTTAAACTGTTCCTCGAAGTGTTCTACCCATCGTTCCAGTCGTCTCTCCTGCGAGTCAATCGCAGATACACCCTTCTTTGATATAGCCTCACTAACTGTTGTTGACCTTTTCCCTCCAGTATCCTTAATAAGTCTAAATAACTGTTTAATGTTACCAATCGTCGCTGCCTTTTTCATCTCTGTAGCCTTCACTGCCCACCACTGTTCACGATCGTTGCGTAGACTTTTCTCAGTCTACTTTTAAGTTACGCCCCTTTTCATTGTACTCAGAGCCTGCAGGAACGCGTTCACGTGCATGCATTAGTTCGGAAGAAGCTGCTGATATCCACTAGCTCTTTTCAGGCAACTTCTTTGGAGTCGGCTACGGTCTTCAATGCTGCTTTTACAACAGACTGGAGATGGTACCAAGCTTCTTCTGGATCAGTGATGGTCTTCTGCTCCGATAACTGCATGGCCAACTTCTCACTGAACACGGCTTTGGTGTTTTCGTCGTCCAGCAGCACCCGTAGGGTTTTGTTGACGAATTTTTTTACGTCCATTGAGATGCGGGCCAACGCGTGGTCGCTGTCCAAATACGTACTCCAGAAGGAGCGGCAGTCTCCCACCGATCCTCTTCGGCGATGACTAATAGCAATGTGGTCTACCTGTGTCCACCGCTGAGTTGAGCTAGGTGGACACCTCGTCAGACAGTGTCTTTTTTTATGTTTAAAATTTGTGCTAGCTAAAAATAGGCGGTTATCTGAGCACAGTTGTAGTAGGCGATCACCGTTATCTGTACTTTCAGCGGGTACTCCAAAAGTACCACCTAAGTGCCTTTTTGCCTCAGTCTACCCACCTATGCGTTGAAATCACCTGCAACAACCACCACGTCTGAACGTTTGGCTTTCGAGAGGAGGTTACACAGTTTACGGTAGAACCCGTCCTTCACTTCATCCAAACTATAGTCAGTGGGTGCGTAAGCAGATTACAAAGAGACAACGGCCTGTTTCACTACTCCTTTTATTTTTCACTGTGTCGTTCAGTTGGATAGCGCAGAGGCGACTATCAACTGGGATCCACTCTAGTAGTCAGTTTTAGGCCCTCGTGCTTAATGCTATGCCTACACATGCAAGACCACGAGAGCTAGCTATCGAATCCCCAGAAACTCTAAGGGTGAATTTTGCGGAATCACCAGATTGGTCAGGATAGGTCAGATAAATAACCGCACTTGGGTCCTGTATGCGTGTCTCACAAACACAGCACACATCCATGGCCCGAGTTACTAGGGTTTTTCCAACAAACCCTGTTGACCAACTTGACGGAGGGTGCGGACACTGAAGGCCCCAGCATGTAATTTGGAGCGTGGTTTAGAGAGACCAAGGATGTTGTTCTATGGATTCACATCGTTGTCGAAAGCTGAAGAGCTAGGAGAAATTGAAGATGATGCAGTAGTGTTAATTGAGAGACGTAAAGAAAGATTAGAAGATAATGATGAGGAAACCTGAGTGCTGATAGAGTTGTGAGGGCGGTTGACACTTCCCGGCTGCCCATACCGTGAAAGGCTATTTCTTATTAAAGTACCTGAAAGGGATTTGTGCGACTGCAGAGCTCATCGAACATCTGCTTGAGGCCTGTCACACGTAGCCTTTTGAGTATGATTATTTTGAACTTTTGTATTTTTGGGGCCGGATGGTCGAAAGGAAACGACAAATGAACCAACACCACCGGCCCGCCAGACTGTGGGTATAGTGGAGTGTGTTATTTTTGGAGTCGACCTTTTCTAAGCCCCCCTTCCGCTGAGAAGGCAGCGTCGGCATCGCACTGCTGGTCATCCAAGAGAAACATTTTACTGCTGTCACACCCCAGCCAGCCAGTAGCAGTACGACTTCGCCCTCAGACCCCCATCATAGTGTAGTAATTTACACCACAACGGTAACTGCTTTTTGTCTAACCACTATCCAACAGACTTTTCTGGTATAGTAGGACCTCGAGGGAATAAGCGTTCCACCAGCATAGCTTGTTGGGTCACTGTGATATGCAAGCCCGACCATCACGTCAAGGTAGCAGCTATCGGTCGAGATAGTTTTTGGCATCCATATTTAACTTCATCAACACAACAGTTAGTGGACGAGTAGACGTTTCTGTTTGGCTATTATATACCCATTCAAACAGAAATTACATAGACAACTGCCAATTACGACTCAGTAGAGCAGTGACTTCATTCCTTATCAATTAATACTATTCCCACAGTGGTAAGTACATGGGAACTAGCTGTCCAGTTTTCTTACATCTGAGTGATGGATTTACAGATTCATAATATGACTTAAGTGAGACCAAGTGAATAACTACACTTTTATGTGCACACATGGTCTGGAAACTCAGTTTTGACTTATGGTTCTGTTATCTGATTTAGTATACACCTGGACAGTGTAGAGTTTGCGGTCTTCGAGAGTGATAAAAATAACAATACGAACCAATCCGGTACTTGTTTTTGTACAGCAGAGTTACATTTGTGGTATAGTTAGTGACACTACTCGACTGTTCAGGTCAAAGTACAAGGAGCCAGATTTCAAATCAGGACTGCTTTGAAATCAAATATTCAAACCAATTAGGTCAATTAAAACTCGGAAAAACTGAGACGGCATACTACTGCAAGTGGAAAGAGGTCACGAGGTGGAGGCAAAAGATAAAGGTGAGAAAGGTAGATTATGGTCCAATGAGGGTTTGTTTCGCTAGGAGTATATAAGTAGTTGATACTTACTGGCTGCTTATATCGCATAATACTGGTATTTTAAGTAGTTAGTGAAAAAGAACATCAGTTACAGGTGAACACACAAAAAATACATCTATTCCAGTTACGTCCAAAAAGGTGTTTATAAAGGACCTATCAAATGAGTTTAATTTATAATCAGAAAGCTTTGGAACTAGCATTAACTTGGAGTGCATGTTAAGACTTGGGCAATGTCAAGCGCAAAAAATTACGATGCACTGTGTAGTGGGCAATATCCTCCTCGAAAAACCCAAAAGGTTTTCCTCAAGATTGTCAAGTGTCTAAGTTCTTAAAGTCTTTTTGATACGCTCAAATTTATGGATAGCCACTTTACCTCCATTTATAAAGCTGTATTTTGAAATATTATTTGATGTAGCATTCATTTTTTGTAGTGGGGTGTATTTGCATACGTAAAACTGTTGCAAAATGTCTTTGTGAGGTTGGTGCTGATGAAAAGTCCATGACAAAATATCAAAGCCTAGAGAATACCGAATCGTCACTTAGGCGACTACCCCAAAGTTTGTAAGTGCGCCCAAACTTCAACAATTACAAGGAACAACAGCTTTTAACAATAATACTCGTTGAATTATCTAGATACAAAAAGATGACATTCTGTGTCAACATTCACGCAGCTAAACGAGGGTCCGAGAAAAAATACATTGAAGAGTCGGAGCAAAACGAGGAGTTTCGAGAGAATTCATCGAATTCCGCCACGTGTTCCTTTTGGCCCCATGTATCGCTTAACCTTAACCCGCATTTCGTTCAATTTTTACATACTCATAAAATGAAGCCGCGTTTTGTCATGGCCTACTGATGGCTTGTTTGCACTATGGTGCGGAAACTATTCCTCGGCCTCATGATTTGCCCCGCTAAAATGTTGACTGGGTTAAATGGGTTTACACGCAAAATATGTTGCTTCATGATTTGTAATACGAATATGGGACCTTAAATGGTAAATATCATTTCTACTAAAAACAACTGACATGTCCTTACAAACTTCTGACAAACCTATGCTTAAGACTTTAAATATTTAGTTTATACGTTCATTAGCTCACTTTACATATCAAAAACCTGAGAAAAAGAAGCAAGTTATGTCTACATACTTCATGAGAAGTCAAGAAAATACAGACTTATTAAACAAAAACTAGTGGAACACTTGACCGCCTCACCTAAGTACCTACAACACCATAACTCGCGGAAAGCTATCCAATATCCAATATCTTTTTCACAGCTGCCAACACCAATAGTGCGAGCTCAGGAGACTGATATTTTTTGATCACCTGCATCTGGTTCTTGGGGCTCTGCTCTTAATTTTCAGTTTGCTCTTGTGGTGTGCAAAGAAATCTTTTCCACTTTCCTGCATTTAGATCCAAAGTTATTGAACATCAATAGTGAGAGAAGAGGAAACTTGTAGATTTTGAGCTCTCGCTTCCAGGTCTTGAGGCTCAGTTCCTTTTGTTTGGCTGTACTCCTTCGATGTTAACGGAAGTCTTTGCATTTCCCTGCTTAATGCTTCGTAAGTGGTGATTTTCTATTTAAAGGTATTTCATTTGCAAAATAGAGCATGATTTTTTGAGGTGGGGTGGGGTGGCAATGGAGCTGCTGATAAGACCAATTAACCATTTGCAAGTTCTCCTTTTGTAAGCCCCTCCAAGTAAGTATTAAGCGTTACCTAAAAAGTGCTGGAAATAGGGTGTGGGGAATGAGAAAAAGAGTGTTACTGGCAATAATACAGAGAAGGAATGCGTCCTGTTGCAGATGCTACGATTGGGAAACACAAGGATGGAGGAGCATATTGTCAGCTGCTACCGACAAATGTTTGTGGCAAGGCATTTGTGCTCACGTACTTATCCAGTAGTCGTTTGAGGGAGCTGACTGATTTCGTCACTTCCTTTGCCTGAGCATTCCATAAGACACAAAATCTGTGTGAGAAACTTGATATCACTCTCATCCTTGCCCTATTGTTGGGTGTGCTAGTAGGGTTTCCAAGGGACTTTCGAGTTCGGCCCGATAACCTTGACCTATTTGAATGGTCATATGTTGCACCTGTTAATCCAAAACCGAACTCGTCACTCTTCTTCATACCTTCTCCAGAGCATTTGCGTCTCTCTTTAGTATTGAGGGGTGGACTGTCATTTTGAACACCTCTAAGTATGATCTAACATAGGTTTTTAATACCACAAGGAATAGTTCTGGGGTTAACGATCCAAGCTGCCTTCTTAGAAAGTACATAATGGCGTTTGCCTTTGCTGCCACTCCATTATAACTGTCGGTAGTATCCAGCGTGTCGGAAGTGTTCAGTCCTAAGTCCTTCTCTGTGAGTGCCTTGGTGATAACGCGGTGGTTCACAGCGTTGCTGATTTTCATCGCCTTTGGTGTGCGAAAATACATTAGCTTGTATTTCTCTAGGCTAAGGCTTCAACCGCTTGCGGCCGACCAGGACCTCGGCCAAAACATATCGTTGTGGAATATCCTAGGATCCTCTCCGTCACCCATTGTCCTTCATATCTTAATGTCGTCGACAAATGCGAGGATAGATGAGGGGATTTTAGTGGGAAGGTCGTTTATGAATAGTAAAGGTAGGAATCCCCCGAAGACGGCTCCCTAAGAAACCCCTGTTCTCGCTTTCCCTCGAGCTGATAGAACTCTGTTTACTACAGCACAGGATTCTCTGTATTCTAGACATGCTGTAAACCATGCCATGAGTGGTTCAGTGATACCCACTTTTGCGAGTTCGGCGAGGACGGTGCAGTGTGAGACGCCATCAAAAGCTTTGGTCAAGTCCAAGGAGATAATGAGTACTGGTTACTTGTTGTCCCACCTAGTGGTCCAGTCATCTCAAGCAGTCGTCAAGTTTGTGACACATGACCACCCAGTTCTTGAGCCATGTTGGGTGGGATGAACGATGTTGTTTCCGTCCAAGTACCCCAAACAACATCTGCAACCAGGCTTTCCAGTAACTTGGATGGTACGGGAAGTAATACAACTGGTCTCTAATTACACAGGTTTCTTCGGTCTCCCCCCTTGAAGGTTGTTGAAAGGATAGCGAGTGTTCGATTCTTTGGGGGAGTTGGCTTACTTCCAGCGTCCTGGACCTTGTCTTCACAAACGGAACCAAACCGACAAAGCTCAAAGTAGGTGCACAATTTCCAGGTAGCAATCGCAAGATAGTATATGGGTACTTCAACATATCCATCACGAAATCAGCCCAAAAGTTAAGAATAGTTCTAACTATAATCTACAAGTATGCCAGATGGGACGAACTACAATCGTTTCCGCGCTGCCTAGACTGGAGCCACTACTTTACCAACAGTTCAGCCAAAGAACTCTGTGACCTGTTTTATGAATATATAGGCACAGCTCAAGACTATATTGCTCCATCGCTCCAAAGAGAAATTAAGAAAAACAGAGTTGACTATATACCTACGAAGGTACACAACCGCATGCGTAAGTATGCCAGACAGTACTATAAGTCGAATGAATTTTCATCACTTGTCACGCTCCATGACACGTATGACACGTTCAAGGTGGAAAGAGTACTAGAAGCCGTTAAACAAGAACGCATCCGATGTAGTAAAACTAATAATACAGAATTACTAGTGAGACTGATGAAAACCCGGACAAGCAGCTCCAGAAATAGTACCCCTGGTTTATTTATATACAGCGGCATCCACTACAAATCAGCGAGCTGTTCGGTTACCAGTTTGCTAGCCGCCTTACACAAGAAGACGAAATAAAAACCACCGGTGTGCCGTCAACTTCAACTCACTCGATAAGTATTATGCTCCTCACTAAACAAAACATTTCTCTAGCTACGGCATCACCTAGAAACTCATGCAGTGCGGGACCTGATGGAATTCCAACCATCTTGTTAAAAAGAGGTGGCGAAGATATACCGCTGATTCTCCTGAAGCTCCTTGATACATCCCTTTCCAGTGGCAAACACCCTGAGAACTGGAAACGATCATACACATGTTCTAAGCACAAATGTGGACCAACAACTAATATAGAAAACTACCGACCCATAAACATCACGTCAGTAGTATCCGGGACTATGGGAAGGGTAGTTGTCAAAGAAGTTGCCGACTACATGACAACAGACCAATCACTGTCACCAGCACAACATGGATTCTTGAAGGGCTGGTCATGCACTATCAGCTATCTTGACTATCTAGACGACGTCACAAGCAAGTGTGACCAAGGCCTATTTGTAACTACCCTTTTATTAGACTTCAAGCAAGCATTCAGTAAGGTGCCTCACAAAAGCCTGGTCACTAAGTTGCAATCATATGGTTTCCAAGACCCGTTACCGTCCAGGCTTAGGACATTTTTAGAGGGTAGCTTCCAAGTAGACAAATTCGGTAGTTGCTACACCTCCCCTGGACCTATACAAAGTGGCGTCATCGAGGGTAGTGTGCTAGGACCAGTAGTTTTCCTAGTCTGCGTAGACGATATCTGCAGTGTTATCCAAAATGGCTTACCTTGCCTTTTCGCTGACGACTTGAAGATGGTCTACAGCTTTTCTGCTGCAGGACTAGCACAAGGTTTCTCTCAGGTACAAGAAGATCTGAAGAGAATATTCACATGGAGCGTGACCTAGCAGCTCTCTCTAAACCCAAATAAAAGTGGCATTCTCTATTTCAATTAATCCCATCCAAATGTAACACTACGCTTGGGTGACATGGCACTGCCGGTATACAACACTGTGAGAGACCTCAGAATCATTTACTCCAGAAGTTTGACTTTTACGGAGTATGCACATTCAATAGTTTCCAAAGGCAGAAAACTCATTGGTATTCTACACAGAAACAAACTCATACCTGAGGCAAAACTTGTGCAGCATAAAGTTATGGTTCGCCCAATATAAGAGTATTGCACAGTTATCTATGGTAACATAAAAGTATCGGACAGAATTCGAGTGGAGAACATTCAACGAAACTTTACTCGGCGCCCACTAATACATGACGAAGGACTTGCACACGAAACAAGATGCAAAACATAGAACTGGAATCACTCTGGCTGAGATCATTCACCAGGAAACAGCCTTCTTGGTCTATACACATACACTTAGAGATTTCGGTTGAAGTTGCTGATAAATTGGGAGAAACAGAGTACCAGGTTCCCCTTGGTAAGCCACCTACGTTACACCTTGTTCTCCTCATTTGTATTATTTGAGTGAAACACTGCTTAACTATAACGGTACAAGAAGCTAGGTAGCAAGCCCTAAGTTGTATAAGCTGTGCCACCTCTCCCGAGGAGGTAGAGTACCTCGAACACGCCGTCACCTCTCAGTGTACCATCAACGACAGCGAAACAGTCGGAGAACATACTGTTGCTGTCCTGCCAACCAGACATTATAGGCTCCTGCCACATAAGGGTGAAACCAGACGAACCTTGGGTCACCAGAGAGGCAGAGAGAAAGTTTTCGCTTAGAGATCTGCACAAAGCTGCAACCATGGAAGTGCACGGAATGCCGGAACTGGCGGATGAGTCCACAAAGTATGGTAATCTCCTCTATGATGTCTAGCGGTGGAGGTGGCTAGCGGCAAAATAGGACTTGAAAAATTGCCTGCCGAAAGCGTACATAGGTTGCCAAGACCTACTCACGCGTAGACCACTTCCTCACCGAGATTTCTAGATGTACACTGTGACTGCAAAGCATCACCACCAGAAGCTCTCACAACATGGTGCTGTGTAAAAGATCAGGTAGGAGTTCCCACGAGTTGCTGCGAAAGCAAACCCTAGTCTGCCAGATTGGAAGATCGGAGGCAACTTCCAAGAATACTACAAACAGTACTGGCCACAAAAGAGCTATCCGGGAAAATACCAGTAAAAGCAAGAGTGGATAATACCACCGCACCGTCACCGGGACGTCAAGAGGGATCAAGCAACGCAGGCCTGTCAGTCCAGCAGGGACTGACAACCAGAATCAGATGCAACAGCACACCAGCCTGCAAACAAGTCCCCATGTCGCGCCAAGCCCGGAACTTGGCCTCTTGACACGCTTCTACAGCGATGTAGGAGGTCGCGGAAGTAAACCACCGGAGCTAAGAACAATGCGCCATAACCTCCAGGGAGACATCATTCCCATCACGTGGATATGGGTGCCATCAGACATCGTGGATGAAGAAATATCTTTGCCCAACATGGCATTGTTCTGAAAGGATGGTCAGTTCAAAGAAGATGGAAGAGCTGCCATGCACACTAGCACTCACCTAAAAGTCAAGGAAGTGA